GCAATTAATATCTATCACCTCAGCCAAAGTGTTCCATTTGATTTTCCAAAACACAAAAACTCACCTTGGTCGTGTTACCTGTAGATTTCTAAGCTTCAAATGCCTATTTGTTGTGTTTTTATTTCATAATGGCTACTATGCCCACAGTCTTGTTTGTATGGCGTCAGAATAGAAAATTTGGGAAGGAAGAAGGCAAAACCAACTCAGACCCAGAAACATTTAGGAAATTGCCGCTCACAAACCACATATCGGCTGATGCACCCAAAACAATGACAGCAAGCCAGAATTGGAGCAGGCCAACAGCTGTGCCCTGTTTGAAAAAGACCATTCCCCCGGTGCCCTGAACTCCATATTGCCGCCATAAAACCAAAGCTCACATCAGAAAATTCGTTACAAACCATGATAAATAAGAAAAATGAGAAAAAAGCCAAAGAAATGCAAGAATCCATAATGACATTTGGCCTTATTAGTCACAAGGAAACCGGCTGTTGCTGGATTCATCCTCTGCTCCAGCTCACTGCCTGTGGAATTCTGACTGAGTTAACCTGAAAATCGCAGGGAAACTCAGTTTGGAGGCAATTACTATCTGTCACCTCAGCCAAAGTGTTCCATTTGATTTTCCAAAACACAAAAACTCACCTTGGTCGTGTTACCTGTAGATTTTGAAGGTTTAAATGCCTATTTGTTGTGTTTTTTATTTCATAGTGGCTACTCTGCTGAAACTCTTGTTTGTATGGCGTCAGAATACAAAATTTGGGAAGGAAGAAGGCAAAACCAACTCAGACCCAGAAACATTTAGGAAATTGCCGCTCAGAATACACAAATCGGCTGAGGCACCCAAAACAATGATAGCAAGCCAGAATTGGAGCAGGCCAACTTCTGTGCCCTGTTTGAAAAAGAGCCTTCCTCTTGCACCCTGAACTCCAGATTGCAGCCTCAAAACCAAAGCTCACATCAGAAAATTCATTACAAACCATGATAAATAAGAAAAAGGAGAAAAAAGCCAAAGAAATGCAAGAATCCATAATGATATTGGGCTTGATTCAGTCACAAGGAAACCGGCTGTTCCCGGATTCATCCACACCTCCAGCTGACTGCCTGTGGAATTCTGACTGAATTAACTTGAAAATCACAGTGAAACTCAGTTTGGAGGCAATTAATATCTGTCACCTCAGCCAAAGTGTTCCATTTGATTTCCCAAAACACAAAAACTCACCTTGGTCGTGTTACCTGTAGATTTCTAAGCTTCAAATGCCTATTTGTTGTGTGGTTCATTTCATAATGGCTACTCTCCCCAAACTCTTGTTTGTATGCCGTCAGAATACAAAATTTGGGAAGGAAGAAGGCATAACCAACTCAGACCCAGAAAACATTTATGAAATTGCCGCTCAGAATCCACAAATCGGCTGAGGTACTCAAAACAATGACAGGAAGCCAGAATTGGAGCAGGCCAACAGCTGTGCCCTGTTTGAAAAAGACCATTCCTCTGGTGCCCTGAACTCCATATTCAGCCACAAACCAAAGCTCACATCAGAAAATTCATTACAAACCATGATAAAAGAAAACAGAGAAAAAAGCCAAGGAAATGCAAGAATCCATAGTGACATTTGGCCTTATTAGTCACAAGGAAATGGCTGTTCCCGGATTCATCCTCTGCTCCAGCTGACTGCCTGTGGAATTCTGACTGAATTCACCTGAAAATTGCAGTGAAACTCAGTTTGGAGCCAATTACTATCTGTCACCTCAGCCAAAGTGTTCCATTTGATTTTCCAAAACACAAAAACTCACCTTGGTTGTGTTACCTGTAGATTTTGTAGGTTTAAACGCGTATTTCTTGTGTTTTTTTATTTCATAATGGCTAATCTGCCCAAACTCTTGTTTGTGTGCCATCAGAATACATAATTTGGGAAGGAAGAAGGCAAAACCAACTCAGACCCCGAAAACATTTAGGAAATTGCCGCTCAAGAAACCAAAAATCAGCTGAGGTACCCAAAACAATGACAGCAAGCCAGAATTGAAGCAGGCCAACAGCTGTGCCCTGTTTGAAAAAGACCATTCCTCTGGTGCCCTGAACTCCCTATTGCAGCCTCAAAACCAAAGCTAACATCAGAAAATTCATTACAATCCATGATAAATAGGAAATCAGAGAAAAAAGCCAAAGAAATGCAAGAATCCATAATGACATTTAGCCTGAATAATCACAAGGAAACCGGCTGTTCCCGGATTCATCCACACCTCCAGCTGACAGCCTGAGGAATTCTGACTGAATTAACCTGAAAATCGCAGTGAAACTCAGTTTGGAGGCAATTACTATCTGTCACCTCAGCCAAAGTGTTCCATTTGATTTTCCAAAACACAAAAACTCACCTTGGTCATGTTACCTGTAGATTTCTAAGCTTCAAACGCCTATTTGTTGTGTTTTTTATTTCATAGTGGCTACTCTGCTGAAACTCTTGTTTCTATGGCATCAGAATACATAATTTGGGAAGGAAGAAGGCAAAACCAACTCAGACCCAGAAAACATTTAGGAAATTGCCACTCAAGAAACCAAAAGTTAGCTGAGGCACCCAAAACAATGATAGCAAGCCAGAATTGGAGCAAGCCAACAGCTGTACCCTGATTGAAAAAGAACCTTCCTCTTGTGCCCTGAACTCCATGTTGCAGCCTCAAAACCAAAGCTCACATCAGAAAATTCATTACAAACCATAAAAAATAAGAAAAATGAGAAAAAAGACAAGGAAATGCAAGAATCCATAATATTGGGCTTGATTCAGTCGCAAGGAAACCGGCTGTTCCCGGATTCATCCAGCCCTCCAGCTGACTGCCTGTGGATTTCTAACTGAATTAACCTGAAAATCACAGTGAAACTCCGTTTGGAGGCAATTACTATCTGTCACCTCAGCCAAAGTGTTCCATTTGATTTTCCAAAACACAAAAACTCACCTTGGTCATGTTACCTGTAGATTTCTAAGCTTCAAACGCCTATTTGTTGTGTTTTTTATTTCATAATGGCTATTCTGCCCAAACTCTTGTTTGTATGGCAGCAGAAAAGAAAATTTGGATACGAAGACGGTAAAACCAACTCAGACCCAGAAAACATTTAAAAAATTGCCACTCAAGAAACCAAAATCAGCTGAGGCACCCAAAACAATGAAGGCAAGCCAGAATTGGAGCAAGCCACAGCTGTACCCTGTTTAAAATGACCATACTTCCAGTGCCGTGAACTCCATACTGCAGCCTCAAAACCAAAGCTCACAACAGAAAATTCATTACAAACCATGATAAATAAGAAAACATAGAAAAAATCCAAAGAAATGCAAGAATTCATAATGATATTGGGCTTGATTCAGTCGCAAGGAAACCGGCTATTCCCAGATTCATCCACCCCTCCAGCTGACTGCCTGTGCAATTCTGACTGAGTTAACCTGAAAATCGCAGTGAAACTCAGTTTGGAGGCAATTAATATCTGTCACCTCAGCCAAAGTGTTCCATTTGATTTTCCAAAACACAAAACTCCCCTTGGTCATGTTACCTGTAGATTTATAAGCTTCAAAATCCTATTTGCTGTGTTTTTTATGTCATAATGGCTACTCTCCCCAAACTCTTGTTTGTAGAAATCAGAATACAAAATTTGGGAAGGTAGAAGGCAAAACCAACTCAGACCCAGAACACATGTAGGAAATTGCCACTCAAGAAACCACAAATTAGCTGAGGTATCGAAAACAATGACAGCAAGCCAGAATTGGAGCAAGACAACAGCTGTGCCCTGATTGAAATAGAACATTCCTCTTTTCCCATGAACTCCATATTGCAGCCTCAACACCAAAGCTCACATCAGAAAATTCATTACAAACCATAAAAAATAAGAAAAATGATAAAAAAGCCAAAGAAATGGAAGAATGCATAATGATATTGGCTTTGATTTAGTCGCAAGGAAACCGGCTGCTCCCAGATTCATCCACCCCTCCAGCTGACTGAATGTGGAATTCTCAATGAATTCACCTGAAAATCGCAGTCAAACTAAGTTTGGAGGCCATTAATATCTGTGACCTCAACAAAGTGTTCCATTTTATTTTCCAAAACACAAATACTCACCTTGGTCGTGTTTCGAGTAGACTTATAAGCTTCAAACGCCTATTTGTTGTGTTTTTTATTTCATAATGACTGCTCTGTCCAAACTCTTGTTTGTATTCCATCAGAATACAAAATTTGGGAAGGAAGAAGGCAAAACCAAGTCAGACCCTGAAAACATTTAGGACATTGTGGCTCAAGAAACCACAAATTGGCTGAGGCACCCAAAACAATGACAGCAAGCCAGAATTGGAGCAAGCCAACATCTGTACCCTGTTTGAAAAAGACCATTCCTCCGGTGCCCTGAACGCCATATTGCCTACTCAAATCCAAAGCTCACATCAGAAAATTTATTACAAACCATGATAAATAAGAAAAAGGAGAAAAAAGCCAAAGAAATGCAAGAATCCATAATGATATTGGGCTTGATTTAGTCGCAAGGAAACCAGCTGTTCCCGTATTCATCCACCCCTCCAGCTGACTGCCTGTGGAATTCTGACTGAATTAACCTGAAAATCGTAGGGAAACTCAGTTTGGAGGCAATTAATATCTGTCACCTCAGCCAAAGTGTTCCATTTGATTTTCCAAAACACAAAACTTCACCTTGGTCGTGTTACCTGTAGATTTCTAAGCTTCAAACGCCTTTTTGTTGTGTTTTTTATTTCCTAATGGCTACTCTGCTGAAACTCTTGTTTGTATTGCGTCAGAATACAAATTTGGGAAGGAAGAAGGCAAAACCAACTCAGACCCAGAAAACATTTAGGAAATTGCCGCTCAAGAAACCACAAATCGGCTGAGGCACTCAAAACAATGACAGCAAGCCAGAATTGGAGCAGCACAACAGCTGTGCGCTGATTGAAAAAGACCATACCTCTGGTGCCCTGAACTCCATATTGCAGACTCAAAACCAAAGCTGACATCAGAAAATTCATTACAAACCATGATAAATAAGAAAAATCAGAAAAAATCCAAAGAAATGCAGGAGTTCTTAGTGATATTGGGCTTGATTTATTCCCTTGTTAATGGCTGTTTCCAGATTCTTCTATACCTCCCAACTGAGTGTCTGTGGTTTCTGCTGAATTAAAATGAAATTCGCTGTGAAACTCGGTTTGGAGGCAATTAGTATCTGTCACCTCAGCAAAAGTGTTCCATGTCTTTTTACAAAACACAAAATCTCACCTTGGTCGTGTTACCTGTAGTTTTCAAAAGCCTATTTGATGTGTTTTTTATTTCATAATGTCTATTCTGTCCAAAATCTTGCTTGTATTGCGTCAGAATACAAAATTTGGGAAGTAAGAGGACAAAACCATCTGAGACTCAGAAAACGTTTAGGAAATTGCCACTCAAGAAACCTCAAATCGGCGGAGGCACCCAAAACAATGACAGCAAGCCAGAATTGGAGCAGGCCAACAGCTGTGCCCTGATTGAAAAAGACCATTCCTCCGGTGCCCGGATCTCCATATTGCAGCCTCAAAACCAAAGCTCACATCAGAAAATTCATTACAAACCTTCATACATAAGAAAAATGAGAAAATACCCAAAAATGCAAGAATCCAGAATGATATTGGGCTGGATTTGTTCGCAAGGAAACCGGCTGTTCCCGGATTCATCCACCCCTCCAGCTGACAGCTTGTGGAATTCTGACTGAATTAACCGGAAAATCGCAGAGAAACTCAGTTTGGAAGCAATTAATAACTGTCACCTCAGCTAAAGTGTTCCACTTTATTTTCTAAAACACAAAAACTCACCTCGGTCGTGTTACCTGTAGATTTCTAAGCTTCAAACGCCTATTTGTTGTGTTTTTTATTTCATAATGGCTACTCTGCCCAAACTCTTGTTTCTATGGCGTCAGAATACAAATATTGGGAAGGAATAAAGCAAAACCAACTCAGACCCAGAAAACATTTAGGAAATTGCCGCTCAAGCAACAAAGGGCCGCTGAGGAACCCAAATCTTTGAAAGCAAGACAGAATTGGAGCAAGCCAACAGCTGTGCCCTGATTGAAAAAGACCATTCCTCCGGTGTCCTGAACTCGATATTGCAACCTCAAAACCAAACCTCAGATCAGAAAATTCATTACAAACCATGATAAAAAAGAAAAATCAGAAAAAATCCAAAGCAATGCAGGAGTTCTTAGTGATATTGGGCTTGATTTATTCCCTTGTTAATGGCTGTTTCCAGATTCTTCTACACCTCCCAGCTGAGTGTCTGTGGTTTCTGACTGAATTAAAATGAAATTCGCTGTGAAACTCGGTTTGGAGGCAATTAATATCTGTCACCTCAGCAAAAGTGTTCCATGTCTTTTTACAAAACACAAAATCTCACCTTGGTCGTGTTACCTGTAGCTTTCAAAAGACTATTTGATGTGTTTTTTATTTCATAATGTCTACTCTGTCCAAAGTCTTGTTTGTATGCCATCAGAAAAGAAAATTTGGGAAGGAAGGCGGCAAAACCAACTCAGACCCAGAAAACATTTAGGAAATTGCCACTCAAGAAACCACAAATCGGCTGAGGCACCCAAAACAATGGCAGCAAGCCAGAATTGGAGCAGGCCAACAGCTGTGCCCTGATTGAAAAAGACCATTCCTCCGGTGCCCTGAACTCCATATTGCAGCCTCAAAACCAAAGATCACATCAGAAAATTCATTACAAACCATGATAAATAAGAAAAATGAGAAAAAAGCCAAAGAAATGCAAGAATCCATAATGATATTGGGCTTGATTTAGTCGCAAGGAAACCGGCTGTTCCCGGATTCATCCACCCCTCCAGCTGACAGCTTGTGGAATTCTGACTGAATTAACCTGAAAATCGCAGTGAAACTAAATTGGAAGGCAATTAATAACTGTCACCTCAGCCAAAGTGTTCCATTGATTTTCCAAAACACAAAAGCTCACCTTGGTTGTGTTACCTGTAGATTTCTGAGCTTCAAACGCCTATTTGTTGTGTTTTTTATTTCATAATGGCTACTCTGCCCAAACTTTTGTTTCTATTGCGTCAGATTACAAAATTTGGGAAGGAAGAAGGCAAAACCAACTCAGACCCAGCAAACATTTAGGAAATTGCCGCTCAAGAAACAAACGGCCGCTGAGGAACCCAAAACAATGACAGCAAGCCAGAATTGGAGGAAGCCAAGAGCTGTGCCCTGTTTGAAAAAGACCATTCCCCCGGTGGCCTGAACTCCATATTGCAGCCTCAAAACCAAAGCTCACATCAGAAAATTCATTACAAACCATGATAAATAACAAAAATGAGAAAAAAGCCAAAGAAATGCAAGAATCCAGAATGATATTCGGCTTGATTTAGTTGCAAGGAAACCGGCTGTTCCCGGATTCATCCACCCCTCCAGCTGACTGCCTGTGGAATTCTGACTGAATTAACCTGAAAATCGCAGGGAAACTCAGTTTGGAGGCAATTAATATCTGTCACCTCAGCCAAAGTGTTCCATTTGATTTTCCAAAACACAAAAACTCACCTTGGTTGTGTTACCTGTAGATTTCTAAGCTTCAAACGCATATTTGTCGTGTGTTTTAATATTTAATGGCTACTCTGCCCAAACTCTTGTTTGTATTGCGTCAGATTACAAAATTTGGGAAGGAAGAAGGCAAAACCAACTCAGACCCAGAAAACATTTAGGAAATTGCCGCTCAAGAAACAAAGGGCCGCTGAGGAAGCCAAAACCTTGAAAGCAAGACAGAATTGGAGCAAGCCAACAGCTGTGCCCTGATTGAAAAAGACCATTCCTCCGGTGTCCTGAACTCGATATTGCAGCCTCAAAACCAAAGCTCACATCAGAAAATTCATTACAAACCATGATAAATAAGAAAAATCAGAAAAAATCCAAAGAAATGCTGGAGTTCTTAGTGATATTGGGCTTGATTTATTCCCTTGTTAATGGCTGTTTCCAGATTCTTCTATACCTCCCAGCTGAGTGTCTGTGGTTTCTGACTGAATTAAAATGAAATTCGCTGTGAAACTCGGTTTGGAGGCAATTAATATCTGTCACCTCAGCAAAAGTGTTCCATATCTTTTTCCAAAACACAAAATCTCACCTTGGTCGTGTTACCTGTAGCTTTCAAAAGCCTATTTGATGTGTTTTTTATTTCATAATGTCTATTCTGTCCAAATCTTGCTTGTATTACGTCAGAATACAAAATTTGGGAAGGAAGAGGACAAAACCAACTGAGACTCAGAAAACGTTTAGGAAATTGCCACTCAAGAAACCTCAAATCGGCGGAGGCACCCAAAACAATGACAGCAAGCCAGAATTGGAGCAAGCCAGCAGCTGTGCCCTGATTGAAAAAGACCATTCCTCCGGTGCCCTGAACTCCATATTGCAGCCTCAAAACCAAAGCTCACATCAGAAAATTCATTACAAACCATGATAAATAAGAAATATCAGAATAAAGCCAAAGAAATGCAAGAATCCATAATGATATTGGGCTTCATTTAGTTGCAAGGAACCCGGCTATTCCCGGATTCATCCACCCCTCCAGCTGACTGCCTGTGGAATTCTGACTGAATTAACCTGAACGGAGGCAGTTAATATCTGTCACCACAGCCAACTTGTTCCATTTGATTTTCCAAAACACAAAATCTCACCTTGGTCGTGTTACCTGTAGCTTCAAAAGCCTATTTGTTGTGTTTTTTATTTCCTAATGGCTACTCTGCCCAAACTCTTGTTTGTATTGTGTCAGAATACAAAATTTGGGAAGGAAGAAGGAAAACCAACTCAGACCAAGAAAACATTTAGGATATTGATGCTCAAGAAACTTCAAATCGGCGGAGGCACCCAAAACAATGACAGCAATCCAGAATTGGAGCAAACCAACAGCTGTGACCTGATTGTATAAGAACCTTCCTCTTGTGCCCTGAACTCCATATGCCAGCCTCAAAACCAAAGCTCACATCAGAAAATTCATTACAAACCACTAAAATTAAGAAAAATGAGAAAAAGGCCAAAGAAATTCAAGAATTCATAATGATATTGGGCTTGATTTTGTCGCAAGGAAACCGTATATTCCCGGATTCATCCACCTCTCCAGCTGATGCCTGAGGAATATTGACTGAATTAACCTGAACGGAGGCAGTTAATATCTGTCACCACAGCCAAAGTGTTCCATTTCATTTTCCAAAACAAAATCTCACCTTGGTCGTGTTACCTGTAGCTTTCAAAAGCCTATTTGATGTGTTTTTTATTTCATAATGGCTATTCTGTCCAAACTCTTGTTTCTGTTGCGTCAGAATACAAAATTTGGGAAGGAAGAGGACAAAACCAACTGAGACTCAGAAAACGTTTAGGAAATTGCCACTCAAGAAACCTCAAATCGGCGGAGGCACCCAAAACAATGACAGCAAGCCAGAATTGGAGCAGGCCAACAGCTGTACCCTGATTGAAAAAGACCATTCCTCCGGTGCCCTGAACTCCATACTGCAGCCTCAAAACCAAAGCTCACATCAGAAAATTCATTACAAACCATGATAAATAAGAAAAATGAAAAAATAGACAAAGAAATGCAAGAATCAAGAATGATATTGGGCTGGATTTAGTTGCAAGGAAACCGGCTGTTCCCGGATTCTTCCACCCATCCAGCTGACTGCCTGTGGAATTCTGACTGAATTAACCTGAACGGAGGCTGTTAATATCTGTCACCACAGCCAAAGTGTGCATTTTATTTTCCAAAACACAAAATCTCACCTTGGTCGTGTTACCTGTAGCTTTCAAAAGACTATTTGATGTGTTTTTTATTTCATAATGTCTACTCTGTCCAAAGTCTTGTTTGTATGCCATCAGAAAAGAAAATTTGGGAAGGAAGACGGCAAAACCAACTCAGACCCAGAAAACATTTAGGAAATTGCCACTCAAGAAACCACAAATCGGCTGAGGCACCCAAAACAATGGCAGCAAGCCAGAATTCGAGCAGGCCAACAGCTGTGCCCTGATTGAAAAAGACCATTCCTCCGGTGCCCTGAACTCCATATTGCAGCCTCAAAACCAAAGATCACATCAGAAAATTCATTACAAACCATGATAAATAAGAAAAATGAGAAAAAAGCCAAAGAAATGCAAGAATCCATAATGATATTGGGCTTGATTTAGTCGCAAGGAAACCGGCTGTTCCCGGATTCATCCACCCCTCCAGCTGACAGCTTGTGGAATTCTGACTGAATTAACCTGAAAATCGCAGTGAAACTAAATTGGAAGGCAATTAATATCTGTCACCTCAGCCAAAGTGTTCCATTTGATTTTCCAAAACACAAAAGCTCACCTTGGTTGTGTTACCTGTAGATTTCTAAGCTTCAAACGCCTATTTGTTGTGTTTTTTATTTCATAATGGCTACTCTGCCCAAACTTTTGTTTCTATTGCGTCAGATTACAAAATTTGGGAAGGAAGAAGGCAAAACCAACTCAGACCCAGCAAACATTTAGGAAATTGCCGCTCAAGAAACAAACGGCCGCTGAGGAACCCAAAACAATGACAGCAAGCCAGAATTGGAGGAAGCCAAGAGCTGTGCCCTGTTTGAAAAAGACCATTCCCCCGGTGGCCTGAACTCCATATTGCAGCCTCAAAACCAAAGCTCACATCAGAAAATTCATTACAAACCATGATAAATAACAAAAATGAGAAAAAAGCCAAAGAAATGCAAGAATCCAGAATGATATTCGGCTTGATTTAGTTGCAAGGAAACCGGCTGTTCCCGGATTCATCCACCCCTCCAGCTGACTGCCTGTGGAATTCTGACTGAATTAACCTGAAAATCGCAGGGAAACTCAGTTTGGAGGCAATTAATATCTGTCACCTCAGCCAAAGTGTTCCATTTGATTTTCCAAAACACAAAAACTCACCTTGGTTGTGTTACCTGTAGATTTCTAAGCTTCAAACGCATATTTGTCGTGTGTTTTAATATTTAATGGCTACTCTGCCCAAACTCTTGTTTGTATTGCGTCACATTACAAAATTTGGGAAGGAAGAAGGCAAAACCAACTCAGACCCAGAAAACATTTAGGAAATTGCCACTCAAGAATCCAAAAGTCAGCTGAGGAACCTACAACAATGACAGCAAGCCAGAATTGGAGCAAGCCAACAGCTGTGCCCTGATTGAAAAAGAACCTTCCTCTTGTGCCCTGAGCTCAATATACCAGCCTCAAAACCAAAGCTCACATCAGAAAATTCATTACAAACCATGATAAATAAGAAAAATGAGAAAAAAGCCAAAGAAATGCAGGAGTTCTTAGTAATATTGGGCTTGATTTATTGCCATGTAAACGGCTGTTTCCAGATTCATCCACACCTCCCAGCTGAGTGTCTGTGGTTTCTGACTGAATTAACCTGAAAATCGCAGTGAAACTCGGTTTGGAGGCAATTAATATCTGTCACCTCAGCCAAAGTGTTCCATTTTATTTTCCAAAACTCAAAAACTCACCTTAGTCTTCTTACCTGTAGATTTCTAAGCTTCAAATGCCTATTTGTTTTGTTTTTTATTTCATCATTGCTAGTCTGTCCAAACTCTTGTTTGTATTGCGTCAGAATACAAAATTTGGGATTAAGAAGGAAAAACCGTGTCAGACCCAGAAAACATTTAGGAAATTGCCACTCAAGAAACCAAAAGTCAGCTGAGGAACCCACAACAATGACAGCAAGCCAGAATTGGAGAAAGCCAACAGCTGTGCCCTGATTGAAAAAGAACCTTCCTCTTGTGCCCTGAACTCCATATGCCAGCCTCAAAAGCAAAGCTCACATCGGAAAATTCATTACAAACAATGATAAATAAGAAAAAAGAGAAAAAAGCTAAAGAAATGCAGGAGTTCTTAGGGATATTGGGCTTGAATTATGGCCATGTAAACGGCTGTTTCCAGATACATCCACACCTCCCAACTGAGTGTCTTTGGTTTCTGAATCAATTAACAAAAAAATCGCAGTGAAACTCGGTTTTGGAGGCAATTAATATCTGTCACCTCAGCCAGAGTGTTCAATTTTACTTTCGAAAACACAAAAACTTACCTTGCTCGTGTTACCTGTACATATATAAGCTTCAAACGCATATTTGTTGTGTTTTTTATTTCATAATGGCTACTCTGTCCAAACTCTTGTTTGTATTACGTCAGAATACAAAATTTGGAAAGGAAGAAGGCAAAACCAACTCAGACCCAGAAAACATTTAGGAAATTGCCGCTCAAGAAACCACAAATCAGCTGAGGCACCCAAAACCTTGAAAGCAAGACAGAATTGGAGCAAGCCAACAGCTGTGCCCTGTTTTAAAAAGACCATTCCTGCGGTGCCCTGAACTCCATATTGCAGCCTCAAAACCAAAGCTCCCATCAGAAAATTCATTACAAACCATTATAAATAAGGGAAATCTGAGAAAGCCAAAGAAATTCAAGAGTCCTTTGTGGTATTTGGCTGGATTTAGACACAAAGAAACTGGCTGTTTCCAGATTCACCTCCCCCTTCCACAGACAGACCTTGGAATTCTGATTGAATTCACCTCAAAATCGCACTCACACTCAATTTGGAGGGAATTAGAATCTGTCCCCTCAGCAGAAGTGTTCCATGTCATTTTCCAAAACACAGAAACTCATCTTGGTCGTGTTGCCTGTAGACTTCTAATCCTGAAAGGGCAATTTGCTGTGTTTTTTTTTTTTTTCTTTCATAATGGCTACTCTGTCCAAATCTTGCTTATGTTGCATCAGAATACAAAATTTGGGAATAAGAAGGCAAATCCGACTCAGACCTAGAAAACATTTAGGAAACTGCAACACAAGAATCCACAAATCAGCTGAGGCACCCAAAACAATGACAGCAAGCAGAATTGCAGCAAGACAACAGCTGTGCCCTGATTGAAAAAGAACCTTCCTCTTGTGCCCTGAGCTCAATATACCAGCCTCAAAACCAAAGCTCACATCAGAAAATTCATTACAAACCATGATAAATAAGAAAAATGAGAAAAAAGCCAAAGAAATGCAGGAGTTCTTAGTAATATTGGGCTTGATTTATTGCCATGTAAACGGCTGTTTCCAGATTCATCCACACCTCCCAGCTGAGTGTCTTTGGTTTCTGAATGAATTAACAAAAAAATCGCAGTGAAACTCGGTTTGGAGGCAATTAATATCTGTC